AATAAATCGTTGACTTCCCTTTGTTGTTATTCTCTGTGTAGCAGCTCACCTTCGGTATCCTGTATTAGTAAGAGCAAGATCCAAGTGGAAAGAAATCAAAGATGGTCATGCAGCAGGATGCTCACAGCTGTGGAAATGATGCATGCCTGTGGTTTGTTCGCATTGGATGGTTGGTTGTTGACTCATAGAAGCCGTGACATCTCTCTTATTCATGAGATGGATGGTGGAGATCAGTTACAATTGCCTATTTCAATGCTGATTAGATAGAAAAATCGATAAAACAAAATTGACTATTTGCTAAACTTATATTTCTTCTTAATTTGCTTGAATAATTTTTCCCACATTTTTCCCCATGGATTTATAACTGCGTTTCTCATCTGTACTATCAGCGTTCAAATAATACATCTGAGCTTTTTGGTTTGAAGGGTCTTGTTATACCACTGATATTTTCCCAAGGTATTCTTTCCCAACATTGACACAATTTTATATTTTATAGGCTCCATATTAAAAAGTCCTAGGAAAGGATTTAAACTGATCTGGTGTAGGTCATGTACCCATTCCTGTCCTACTCAACTGAGATAATTTGAGCCTGCTGCAAATCTTAGGAAAAACATAAGTTGCTGTGAAACACAGGTAATTTCTAGAAAAGTGGCAGCTAGTCAGCTAATAGGAAAACTATCTACTATGTTGATCTCTGGCCAGAATACTCAAAAAGACATTTGTTTAGTTGGCCTCACTGGCCTCTAACTCTATATTCTGTAGTCCTAGGATTTGAAACATTAGCTTGATACATTTATTCATTTATTACCTAAATGAGCTATATATATATATTTGTGGCATGCAGCCTGCTGTTTTGATAATTGTGTGAGAGTACTTCAAATGTTTGTGGACAAGTGGGCCTCACAGGGCAGTGGGTTAAGTCACTGCTTGGAATGCACATTCCATATCAGTGCATGAGTTTGAGCCCCAGTTACTTCCCTTCTCAGGTTGCTTCCTGCTAATGTATTCTGGTAAGCAACCAATGATGGCTCAAGTGCTTGCACCTTGAACCCCTGTCACCCATGTGAGAGAACTGGCTGTGCTCTCTCTGCCTTTGAAGTAGGTTTTAAAATTGATTAACATTTTTACGTTTGTGGAAAATTGAATTGTAAGATTATTTTGGTGCAAATCCACCCCAACATTTTCCATGAATTTTCTGAAGCTCCTTCATTTAACTATTACATGAATGAATATCTATGGAATAAATGAATTCATGCACTGATGGACACCCTGGGTGGAATCCGTATCGATCACGAACAGAACTGCAATGAACACAGGGTTACAGATACCTCTTGGACAAGTTAGTTTCATTTCCTTTGGATATGCACTTGTAATGGGATTTGTTGATGCACTCTTAGCTATCAATGACTGCAGAGATCTTCCTATCCAATCAAATCTTGAAATCCCACTCACAGGAACTAGCAAATCCTATTCATGCACAGCACATTGTTGTGGTGTGACTGGTACAGAAGCCTGTGCTAGTCCCCCTTCCTGGGAGTCAGCAGGTGGCTGTGCCGGAGGAACAGCAGCACTCTAAAGATCTGGGCAGGTGGGGGCAGTAGCAGAGCAGAGGGGACAGGAAGGAAGGAAGCAGAATGTCAGTTCTCCTGGACATTCTGCGTTCGATTATGAATTGTCAGCAAGGCTACGCCTAGGAGACAGGGCTTGGCTGCAGGATTGGGACACAGGGATGAATGCCATGGACTCAAGCCTGAATTTTAGCTCACTCTACAGAGAAATCTGTGCGACAAGAAAAAAGTGCAATAGTATAATGAGCAGCCAATCGACAGTATGGATGTCTGTCTGGGTTTGTGTTGTGGTGGGTAACATCAGGCTTTGTTCTCTACTTGTCTTTGTGTGAACCATATTTTAGATTGGAACTCCATGACCTCCAGGGGGTCACACTTTTATGCGAAAATATTTCTGGAATGTGTAGCATAGCCACACTATGAGTGCAAGCCTGAGTCCTTGAGCAGTTATACCCTCAGCTAGGTCAGCTCTGTCCTCAGAGACTAAGCAACTGCAGGATTTTTGCCTGATGTCTAACTTGCTTGAAAGCTGCTTTCCTTTCCTTCACTTAAGAAGAAGGTGGGGCTGGTTTTGCGGTGTTGGTGGTAAAATCACTGCCTGCAATATTGGTATCCTATTTGGGTGTCAGTTCATGCCCTGGCTGCTCCATTTCTGAACCAACTCCCTGCTAATGGCCAGGAAATAGTAGCAAATGATGGTCCAGTTGTTTAGGCCTCTGCATGCTTGTGTGAGACCTGGATAAAGCTCCTGGCTCTTGATTTCAGCCTTGACCAGCCCTGGCCATTGCAGTAATCTGGAGAGTGAACCAGCAGTTGGAAGATCTCTTTCTGTCTCTCCCCCCATCTCTCTATAACTCTGACTGTCAAATAAATAAATAAATAAATAAATAAATAAATAAATAAATAAATTTTTTTTAAAAAGCTATGGCAAGGCTGCCTTGTGATATGGTAGGTTAACCTGCCTTTTGTAGCACCAGCATCCTATCATAAGTTCAAGTCCTGGTTACTCTCTGATTCAGCTCCCTGTTAACATGCCCAGGAAAGCAAAGGGAAATTATGCAATTGGCTGGGGCCCTTGCCACTCTTGTAAGAAGACCTGTATGGGTCTCTGGTTTTCTGCTTTGGGCCAAGAGCAGCCCTGTCCATTGAGGCCAGTTGGGCAGAGTCCTAGTAGATATATTTCTGTCTTTCTTTGTGTCTGTTCTTGTCTGTTTGTGTCATTTGTCACTCTACCTTTCAAAGAAAGGAATACATTATTTTTTTTAAAAAAGGGGGAAGGGATTGGAAATTTTGAGATGTTTGATGTTATTCTTTTAAATTTTCTATTCTTTCTTATTTAGAGAAAGAGACAGAAATAGAGAGCCCACCTAAGGTGGTAGTGGGCCAGGCAAAGTCAGGAGCTGAGAGCACAAGTCAGGGCTCTCACACAGGTGACAGGGACCCAACTACATGGACCATCATCTCTACCCACCAAGATTCAATTGGCAAGAAGCTGTAATCAGGAACTGGGAACAAGGATTGAACCTGGGCACTTCAACATAGCAAATGGGTTTCTTAATTGTGAGGACAAACAACTGCCTCTTTTCTACTTGACTGAAACCTCTTAGGACTAGCAGCTCTCACTGTACCACTTTGGGACCCCCAGGGTCTCTAATTCATCAAACAACACCCTGTGGCCTCCACCCTTGAGGTGTTGGTATGATCATTAGCAACCAGAGCCAGTATCTACTTCAACTGCATCTTTTTGCCCGCAGAATGTATATACCAGCTCTTCTTCTGCCACTTGTTGTCACTAAGGATTCCTTGTGCTATAAATGAGTGTCTCCAAAACCCTGACATGCAAGTATTCAGCCATTCACATGTATTCACTGATACAGTAGCTGCTATTTCAGGAGACCCAAAACAGGAGACAACGGTATTTGTAACTTCTAGTTAGAGGAGTTGGTGAAGTAGTTGATATTTTAATATTTTAAAAGATTTTTAACTAATACATGCAAACTGATGATGACCTCCATCAGAACTAACTTGAAAAGTATTCCGCTGTGTAGGTGTTCCACATCTCTATACCTTCCTCGTGACTGGTCACTCGGGTTGTTCCCAACTCTTGCCTACTGTTCACAGTGCTACAATAAACCTGGCTTTGCATGTCTCTTCAGCAGACTGATTTCTTCTGGGATTTGAAGGAGTTCCATTTTTAAGTTTTTGAGGAACTTCCATACTAATTTTAATTCCCACCGATAGTATGGAAGGGTCGCCTTGTCCTCGGCATGTTTCCAAGGACTTGTTATCTTTCATCTTGTTGACAGCAGCTGATCTAGCTGGATTGAGCTGATATCTTACCACAAATTAAAAACCACAGTAAGATATCAGCTCATTCTCCTTCATGTTCGGGGGCTAAAAATAAAACTCACTCTGAACATAGAATGCTGATTAGTACAGGCTGGGAGGAGTGGGATAAATAGTAGGCGTTTGGATTTAAAAAGGGGGAAAGCTGGGTCTAGTTCACTAACTGTGACAAATATGTTACACTAAGAGGAGATATTCATTATAGGAGGAGCTGGGTGTGGTTTACAGATTGTGACATATGGAAATACTAATGTAATATGCTAACAGTAGGGGAAACTGCAGGTGATGAAACCTCTTTTTATACTCCACAATTTTGATTTTATAAATTTAAAACTATTTTGATATGAAGTATGGAGAAAGAATAAAAGTAGTGACCTCTTCCTTTGAACTTACTTAATCTTGGATGTACAATATGTATTGTTTCTAAATCACTGAAGTGTCTTTTTGAGATGGGCTTTATTATGCTGCTCCTTGGGACCTGGGATAGCTCAGCTTATCCTAGGTCCATCAGAGGACGAGGAACCAGCTCATCCTGGTTCCAACACAGTGCAAGGAACCATCTCAGATGCAGAAGCTCCAGGAGCATGGATGTTGGCAGGGAGGGAGAGGATGTGCTTTAGGATCCTCCTGGTGCTGCAAAGTTCTAACCTAGACCTCGAATACAATCAGGATTGTTTTCCTTGATGTTTTTAAATAGCTTTTTAAAAATACTCTTATCCTTTCACAGTGATCCTTTCCATTGCCAACTACATTTGGAAGAAATACCAAACGGTTATGCAAATTCTGTCTGCCCCATCACAGCAAAGGCCCACATTTGCCTGATCTGGGAAAATGGTGTTTCATCTGTTCTGAGTTAGGCCATGTTAGCCTCTGTTAAATGGTGTGGACAAAACTGTGTTGCATATGCATGGCTGCCTGTATTCTGACATGCTGGCTCTAAGCTCCAGTTTTGCATTGCTTAATTCCTTCTCCCTGTCTTCTGAAATTGGCATGCAAATTGTTGTTGTACAAGGACCTGTCTCTCCCCTGGAGAGGCTGAGATATGATGTATGGAACCCTCATGGCATTTTCCCCCATTGGTTCTAGAGCCTGACAAAATGGCGTGCGATACACCTTACCAGCGGCAGCGGACTGTGTCAACAACTGGAGAAACTCTGTATGAAATTCTTGGTCTGCATAAGGGAGCATCACATGAAGAAATTAAGAAAACCTACAGGTACAGTGAGAGTTCAAGAATGACCTTTCTTATGCTGCTAGTGGTAACTCTTTCTGATTGTCAAGGGACTCCAGAGAAATATGTAAGCCAACATCAGGTTATCTGAATTTTGAACTCCATGTTCCTTGTTGTATAAACAGAGATAAACAGGAATTAACACACATGACTTTGAGATTATGAAAGAACTATCTGATGATGGTGTGTCATGCAAAAGAGCAGTCTGTATTCCAGGGCTGGTCTTATTGAGGGGAGAGAGAAAAAGAGAAAAGCAACCACAACCCATACGGCATAGCAGTCTCCTGGAAGGGTATTTCTTTTTCTTTTTTTCAAATATAAGGGAGTTTGGGCCTGTTGCCATGGCTAAATCCTCTCCTTGCAAGTACCGGCGTTCCATTTGGGCGCTGGTTCATGTTCTGGCTGCTCCACTTCCCATCCAGCTCACTGCTTGTGCCTGGAAAAGCAGCGGAGGATGATTTGCCAAAGCCTTGGGACCTGCACCCAGGTTGGGAGACCCAGATGAAACTCCTGGCTCTTGGCTCCTGGTTTCCGATTGGCTCAGCACCAGACATTGTGGTCATTTGGGGTGTGAACTAACAGATGGTGGATCCTTCTCTCTGTCTCCTTCTCTCTGTTAATCTGATATGTGTTTCTTATTTAAATAAATAAATTGATTGATTGATGGAGCTGGCACTGCAAGTGGCAGTTTTACCTGCTGTGCTTCAGCACCAGCACCAATAAATACATTTTTAACAAAAAAAAAAATTTGTCTTTCATAACTGATCTAGTTCCAAGGTACCCATAGCCATTTTTTGGAAACATCTGAAATATCCTTTTATTTAAGGTTTCAAGGAATAAAAAATTGAATACAGAATGTTTCTTATTGAAGAAAACTTACAAATTACCAGAAAGAAAACACCTATCCATAATTCTATATCTAGTAATAATTATCATTGACACTTTGTTTCCTTCTAGTCTTTTTCTGTCTAAATAAGATTTTAAAATCTGTCATTTCAAAATAAGCCTTATAAAAATTTGATGTTATCACATCTTCTAATGTCTCAATGGCTATTACCCTATGGCCAGTTGTATTTTATTTAACCACATTATGAACCATTATTTAACAAAAAAGTTTTAAAAACTCTTTTTCTAAACTTAATATTATTGTTCTCAAATCATGATACACATTTCCAATTATTTCCCTATTATTGGATAAAGAAGCTATGCCTTGATAGGGAAAAATGCACCAAAACATAAAAAATAGTTTCAGATTTTAATCGGTTAGTTCCTGATTTGGTCTTGAAAAACTTTTTTTTAATGCATAGCAGTTAAAACATTTCAAGCATGCAAGCATGTTGTTCACTTTCCATATGGCTTTTGTTTTACCTGCCATGATTTGAAAATTCTTCTGGGTTACAATGTTATAAAAAAATATTAACTGCCATCTTTTCTAGTACATTCATGATTTTTCAAGTTTCTACAAAATCTTTGATACAATGGGTTTTATGTTGGCAAATAGCATGAACTATCACTTCAGATTTATTCTTTTCCTTAAATCACACAGCCAGTCTTTACTTGAGTCTCCATGTTTGTCTTCTGATGGGAAGGTCTTTGGCCTTGGAACCCACATGATGCAGAATGTAGGTTTATGTACCTTTATAACCTGAAATACTTTGAAGAAGCAGGTGCTGAAGAATAAATCACCAGCAGTGCAAACAGCCATTTGGATTCACATAGTTCTGCAAAAATGAAGGAGTCTGAGTAAAGATAATATCCATCTCCTGGTTTACATTTCATTAAGGTGCTGGAGAGACTAAAGTCTTTGCTATTTGATTTTACCATAGAGCTACATAGAGTGTGCCTGCAGGTGGAAGTCTTTGGCTGAAAGTAACGAAAATGGACTCTTACAGCTTCAGGTCAAGTCATTGTGCTTGGGGCTTAGAGTAGCAATCAAATTAACTACATTATAAGCTTAATATCTATAAAAATGCTTCCCAAACCGAGAGGGGGTAAAGTCATCTTCAACCACCTTGTCAGTTTTAAAACCTCTTTTACTTTACAATTGTGACTTTTAATTGTGCCTTTATTAATTTCAGGTCATATCTTAATTAAGGCATTAATTATGCTGAGTTGTTTGCAACTTTAATAATTATAACATAAAATCTTTTCATGTAATCAGTGTTGTGCTCTTAATTTCGTTTTAATGTCACACAAATATTATTTTTTCAGCTGATTAGGGTACTTGTATGCTGCCAATAGCATCTGTTTCTATCTAAATTACACATTTGTATTCTGCAAATTATTCAAAATGTATGAGCAAGCTGGAAATCCACTGAGGGTATGATATTTATATTCAGGGATCTGGATGAAGGCAGTGACATTATAGTGAAGTTAAAACTCAGTGAATTTAACAAAATTACCAACTGTTGAACCTCTCTGCTGCTTGACCTTTTTGGCATCCTTGCTTGTGTTCTTGAAAGCAAATTTGAGGTAAAGATTTCTTTCTTTCTTTTATACTTATTTTGATTTTGGAATAGATAATATTTTTTGTTTGGTTAAAATGAGAGCATACAAGCAGACATGGTTCCCCCCGAAAAGTCTTCCTTTTGCCTCTTACTGTCCGGATCAGTCCCTACTCCCATCCCACCAGAGGAAGCACTTTAGTTAGATCTTGATGTTCTCTTCTATTGGTATCTGGTTGAGTGAGACGGCATAACAGGTCTCCACCATCCTTCCCTGCTGAACATGACTTAAAGCTCTAGGAATGACACAACAGACAACTATGAGAGAATTCTGAAACATAGAAAGAGGAAAGCTAACTGATGAGAGCCCAGGGCATCTTTTGGCTTCCCCTCTCCCTCAGCAAAAGGAAACTCAGTCAGTGCTCTTCCAGCACTCAATCAACAAACGGCTTCCAGGTAGCTTTATTCTTTTTCCAAATTGAACAGCAGTTCTGTGGTTTTTTTTTTTTTCTGTTCTTTTTTAAGATGTATTTATTTGAAAGGCATAATTGCAGAGAGAGAAAAATCTTTTATCTGCTAGTGAACTCCTCAAATGGCTGCAGCAGTCAGGGCTGGGCCAGGCAGATTCCAGGAACCAGGAGCTTCTTTTAGTTCTCCAACAAGGGTGCAGTGGTTCAAGTGTTTGGGTCATCTTTCACTGCTTTCCCAAGTATATTAGTAAAGAACTGGAACCAAAGTGAACAAGCTAGGATTTGAACTGACATCCCTTTGGGAAGTTGGCATTATAGATGGCATCTGGATCAGGAGCTCAACAACACTAGACAGTCTCCATAGAAACCAAAGGAAACCAGAGAAAGTCTGCCTAAGCACAACTGGAGAGTGGCACTCTCCCAGCAGCCTGAGCCCTGCCTCTCCCAGCTAGAGACCCCACTTGAGAGAGGCCTTGAGTCCTGGGAGTTCTACCCCAAGCACCCAGCTCAGGAAGTGGGTTGTGTCATGAACTGGAAACTGGCTGCTATGTAAAGGTGCCCTGCCTAAGGATCTGCTTTAAATGCCTTACTACCATCCTAAGGACCAGTGAGAGCCTGGGAGGCAGGAGACAAAACAAAAGTACACCAAAACCACTAAAATAGTTCTGAAAAAACTGACATTGGCACCATGCACAAAAGTTGGTGAAGACCTGCATGCTAAGCCTACACAGGATGACTCTTAAGATAAAAACAAATAGAACCAAGAATCTAGGGACGTAAAAGCCAAATCATCCAGATAAACCAAGCACACTCATCATATGAAGAGCCAGTCTGAATAAGAAAGGCAATCATCAGACTTCCATATGGAAATGAATTAGAATGACCTGACCACATTTCCAAAGTAGCCATAATGAAAAAAGACACAATGAACTTAAAAGAGTAGATACCAGAGAACAGAATCTGTGACGTTAGGGAGAGATCAACATAATTTACGCATTTTAAAAAATAGAAATAAATTTGAAAATGGGGTCTCAGGAGCCATGGAGCATTAATAAGTGATCCAGGGGAAGCACTGTAGCATAGCATATAAAGCCATTGCCCACTGAGCTGGTATCCCAAATAGGCACTGGTGTGGCCCAAATAATCACCTCAGATTCCTCTCCCTGCTAATGTGCCTGGAAAGGCTATGAAAGATGGCCCAACTGATTGGGCCCTGCACCCATGTGTGAGATTCCATTGCAGCATATGGCTTCAGCCTGACCTAGCCCTGACTGTTGTGGCCAATTAGAAAGTGAATTAGTGCATGGAAGATCTCTATCTCTCTCTCTCCTCTCTGTTTTTCAAATAAATAAATAAATAAATAAATAAATAAATAAATAAATAAATAAATAAAAATTACCCCAAATTTGTAGCATTAGAGTCGTCTATGAAACAAGAGTATTCAATGAAATAATGGTTGGAATTTTCTCAAAATTAGGAAAATATATAAAATTATATATTTAAGAAGCGCTGTGGACCCTAATAGGATAACCTTGAGGAAATTCCTTTTAACATATAACATATCACATTAAACTTCTAAAAACAAAATACAAATTTAAAATCTTGAAAACAGCCAGAGAGAAACTCCATGTTGCCTATAGGGGAACACCAAGTTGAAAGGCAGCATATTTCTTACCTGAAGCAGTAGAGGTCAGAAGGAACTGTTAACATTTTTCAAACGTTGAAAGACAAGAATTGCCGACCTCAAATCTTGTATCTGATAAAATTGTATTTCAAAAATTAAGGGAAAATAAAGATAGTCTCAGATAAAGTACATCTAAAAGAACCTGTTGCTAGCAGGTCTGTTTTTTAAAGAACGGCTAAAGGAAATTTTGCAAAAGAAAGAACACAATGAGCAAAATAATAAAATCGCCAAGAAGAATGGGGAAAAAAAGTAGAAATATGTATAAATGTCAAAAGTAGTCCTTCCCCTTATGAGTTTCCTAAGTTATACATGACTGTTGGTCCAAAATTATCATACCACCTGATACTCAAGACAATGTAGCTTAAAAGTGGGATGACAAGGGAATTA